GAAAAATAAAGGAGAAAAAAAAACTTGAGCTAACATTTGAAAAGTTAAGTGGCCTTACTACAGATGGAGTTCCAGCCATGGTTGGCTCACAAAAAGAAAGAACCGAATCATCTTATAGTCTTAATCCAAGTGATTTAATTCTATGCCACTGCATCATACACCAAGAAAGCCTCTGTGCACAGCCTTTGCAGCTCAACAGTGTGATGTCAACAGTAGTGTCATGCATAAATTTTGTCAAAAGCAGAGGGTTTGACAGCCACCAGTTTAAGGAGTTACTGAACGATCTTGACTCTGAGCACGGTAATGTTGTTTATCACTGTGAAATGTGGTGACTGAGTCTCAGGAACATGCTCATGAGGTTTTACAAACTGCAGGATGAAGTCAAGTAGTTCATGGAGATGAAGGGAAAACATGTGAGGGAACTCAATTATAGCAAGTGGCTGTGTGATTTAGTGTTCATTGTGGACATGACCAAGTACCTCTCAGAGCTAAACATCAAGCTGCAGAGCCCCAACCTGCTTCTCAGCTCCCTGCTTTCAAACATGAAATCATGTGAAGCTCAATTAAGACTGTGGAAAGTGTAATTCAAAAGGAATAACACGGTGCACTCTGGAAGGACAGAAGCCTTCTAGGACACTTGAATATGCTGATGAGTGTGTGAAACTAACTGAGGCATTTAATGAAAGATTCAAGAATATGAAAAGAAAACAAATAGAATTGAACATCTTTGCTACACCGTTCAGTGTGGAACCAGCTGATGTGCCTGATGACCTCCAACACGAAACTATTCAGCTGAAAGGCGATGATGAGCTGAAAGCTAGGTACAACCTCCCACTGCTTGAGTTCTATAAATGTACATAAGCAATGATGAACTTCCCACTTTGAGGAGATGTGCCTTGAATATGCATGTGTCCAGAACAACGAACTGCTGCGAGGAGTTCATTTCAAAACTTACCATCGCAAAGAGTGGACCGCGCTCCAGACTGACTAATGCAAACCTAGGAAAGCAGTTGTGAGTAGCAACATCATCAGTACCAGCTGACATCACAGCCTCACCAGAGAGAAGCAGTTCCAGCCATCACATTGGGGGTGAGTTAATTAAGTGTTTGACCAAATATAGCAGGCTGATTTTTAAGTTGATAATTTTATATGGCCCACAAATGATGTTATAAATATCCAAATGGCCCTTGTCAGAAAAAAAGATTCCCCACCCCTGGTCTAGGTGAAGCTGGCAAAGTAAGAGAGAGTCACATCACATACGTGTAATCGTTTATGAGAGTCATGCCAAAAATTGTCACGTTTTGCCTAAGGCCAGGAGGAAATATCTCACACCGGGGCACACGTGATCATATTCACGTTTCAGGAAGATCACCCAGGCTGCTGTGTGGAAACTGGATTAGAAAGAGGGGGACGAGCTGTACAGAGAGAGACCAGGCAGTAGCCCAGACATAACATAATGGTGACCAAGACTGGCCTTACCCGAGGAGAAGTAGAGGAGAACACAGATACAAGTGTCTGGGGGAAGCCAGCACTTCCAAGTAATTTTTTTTTCCTTTATTGATTTTCGAGAGAGAGAAAATAAGAGGCAGACAGAGACAGAAACATTGATGAAAGCGAACATCAATTGGCTGCCTCCTGCATGACCCCCACTGGGGATCGGGCCCGCAACCTGGGTATGGGTCCTGACTGGGAATCAAACTGGTGACCTCTTGGTGCATAGGTCGACGCTCAACCACTGAGCCACACCAGCCAGACAACTTCCAAGTAATTTAAAAGAAAGATTCAAGCCCTGTGAAGCAATGTTGTGAAATATGCTAATTACCAATTATTTGTATCCAGTCCTTTATAGGAAGTTTGGATGTTCTTAAACTGATTCCCATAAACATTAAAACAAAGCAGGCAGATTATGTGTTGTGGAATCGTGCACCTGAGACCTATATAATTTTGTTAACCAGAGTCACCCCAATAAATTCAACAAAAAGGGAAAAAAAGCCATAGTATGGATTGTATTAAAATATTCTGTAATTCGCCCTGGCTGGTGTAGCTCAGTTGGTTGGAACATCATCCTGTACACCAAAAGGTTTCAGGTTCAATACTTGGTCAAGGCACGGACCCAGGTTGTGGGTTTGAGTACTAGAAGGGCAACCGATTGATGTTTCTCTCTCTCTCTCTCTCTCTGAAATCAATAAGCATGTCCTCGAGTGAGAATTTTTTTAAATTCTATAATGTATTCATCCAATTGAAAACCATGTCACCTGACACCTCTGTCACCACGTGATCCACCCTCTCAGCCCCTTCTGGCCTTGGAACCATCACATTCCTGAGGGGCTGCTGGTGGCCAGGGCGCCCAGGGCAGGGCCTTCCCTGCTAGGGTCTGTCAGACACCCACTTTGTGCTAGGAAATGCCCCATTTGCCAACTCTAAATATGTGCCCACGTCTTCACAGCTTCTCCAGGTTTGGCTCCCAGATTATTTTTTGCTCGATGGCTGGAATGGAGTTCTGGTGAATAGGTTCTCTCCAGCCAGGAGGACAAGCTGGGCTTCTAAAGACAGATGTGTGGCTCCGTGTGGAGAGCATGCTTTGGGCGTGAGCATCTTTGGCAGAATGGTGTGGAAAATGTGAAGCCTGGGTTTTTTTCTCTATCTGTGGATTTCTGGGGTTACCAAATTGAAGGGGAGCAGAGAGGGCTCGGCTATGGAGGAGGCAGAAATGAGCCGAATGGGAGATAATTTTCCCAGTACCTGATGAAGTTTATTTAAGACACAGATGACACGACTTTTGTTCTAAGAAAAGGACATCGCAGACTGTCAGTACTGGAGAAAGATCCCTGTCAGATGGGAGGTGGGATTATCCGTAGCTTCTATTTGTAGAGTGCTACCGATCTCATGAGGTATCTGACTGATCGTCAGATTTCTAATTTTTATATTCTGTTCAAGTTCAGATATGTCTATGGAAGGCAGAAAAATACAGGCTAAAAAAAGTCAGGCCTGTCCTTCTGGGTTCCCAGGAAACTGCCAGACTTCCTCTCTGAAACTACTTTAATGCTGTTTCCTCCTGGACGTGTGTTCAGCGCCACCTTGTGGGTATATTTGGAACTGCACCTCCCCAAGCTTCTCGGGGATCAGAGAACCATCTACTGTAACCCTTACCCAGCTGAGAAGGTGGGAAGGGGCTGCCACACCCCCTGGTCCCCTGAAGTAAAAAAGCAGATTCTAGACTTGCCCAAAGGAGGACCAACACAACAGAAAGACGATGATGAGAATGTTAATCTTCCCTGCTCCTGTGCCATGCTTCAGGTCACCTACAACTGCCATAGCCCATAAAGCTCTTCACTGCAAATGGGGATGGGACAAGGCCTGCATTGCATCTCCAGTCAGGTGCTTTTGTAAGAATAAAGTTCCGAGACCATTTTCTTTTTCTTTTCTTTTTCCAGAGGGAGCAAGAGAATGGAAAGTAAGGTTGGCAGCAGCTCCTTCCTGCTTGGGAAGTGCTGGCACTTGCTGCTCCTCTGCTCTGTGGTTGTGGAGCTGGAGGGTGCTCTTGGCACAGAAGTGAGCTGCTAACTGCAGCTTGTTCTCAGAGTAAAGAGAAGCCCAGAAACAGCTAGGGCACCAAGGTGCCACCCTGGGCTTGCACCTGGCATGGTGAGTGGCCCTTGGCAACCAGCTCCTGCAGGCTGTACAGGAACAGCACATGGCAGATTGTGCTGGGTGTGCAGAGAACAGAAGCCCCGGTGCCTCACAGCCCCGCTTTTCAGTGTGCCCTCCTTCACGTACCAGCTGTGTGACCTTGGCCATGTGCCTATGACAGTCAGTCTTCTAGTCTCTAAATTGGGGATAATACTAGGACCTGCCTCATGAGATTCTTGGAGGATTAAATGAGATATAGCCCCGGGCCTTGCTGTTGGCCGACTCCTAACTGGGCCGTGTGAGTCAGCAAAAGGGCTAAAGTTCCCTGAGCCCTCTTAACATCTGATAGGAAGAACTGCTCGTGGCTGTGGTGAGGGAAGTGATAGAAGCAGTAGTGGGTCAAGGGTATCTGTTCTATCAAAAAACCTAAACTAGGTCATTGTCTCTGAAGTAGGACATGAACTGTTGCGAGACGGAAAGAGCGGTGCGGTCGCAGAACTGAAACGTGCCACGTGTGCAAGGCCAGGGCCCAGGCTCCGTGTGCCCGGGCTCCCCACCCTCCTGCAGGCAGTGGTGGGGTGAGGAGGCAGTGGTGGGGGGGCAGCAGGGGGTAGGGAGGCAGTGGGGGAACAGGAGGGCAGTGGGGAGTGGGGGGTTGGGGCAGCGGTGGGGTGGCCTCTGGGTGATGAGTGGCTCTGACACGCTCCCCAGGGGTCCCCTTTGAGACAGAAGTCAGCAGAACCACCATGTGAGGTCTGACAGGTGGGTAGAGTGCATGCTGGTCAGCCAGCAGGGTGAATGTGGCTCTTCCAAAAGTCACTTGAGGGACACAGGATTTAGCAGCAAAACCTGAAGACAGCCCTTTGTCATTTCTGTCCATGTTCTAAGCTCTGGAGGGTGTGTCTAGTGTTTCTAGAAGTTGCCATCACCTCACAAGCGAAGGAAATACACATTTATCGAGCACCTACCATGCCCCAGGCACTGTGCTGGGGAGTTTAGACATGTAATCCTCTCAGCAGCCCTGTGAAACAGGACCATTGCACCCATTGTACAGGTGAGGAAACTGAAGTACAGTGGAGTGGCTAGTAGCAGTGTCGCCTCTTTGCGCCCCACAGCAGCAGGCGCTGTGCCGTGGACTCGGGAAGAGCTTCGTGAGTGCCTGCTAAGTCCACAGTGGAAGGATCTGCGTGCCAAGGGGCGTTCAGATACACGGGCAGATGCTCCGGCGGGGTTCTGAAAGACCAGCTCTGTAGAGCAGCGGCTGGCAAGTCATCAATTCAGAATCCACTGTCCTCTGGCCAGTGGCCTGTTGGCCTGCAGCCAGCTGAGTACAAGGGCTGACTTGATCAGCTTTGGCCCTTTTATTTTAGGCAACCCACCTTCCAAAGAGGTGCCGGCTGGGAACTACCCATTCATAGTCACCTCCGATGACGGACGGAAGGTTCCTGTGGTCCAGGCCTATGCTTTTGGCAAATACTTAGGCTATTTGAAGGTTGAGTTTGATGCAAAAGGAAATGTCATCACCTCACATGGAAATCCCATTCTTCTCAACAGCAGCATTCCTGAAGGTACGTGAAATTCAGGGCAATGTTCCACTAATCCCAAAATTAGGTGGCTGATTTTTTTCCTCCCTTTTTTTGTGAATATGTCAGGACAAGACTATAATACTTTTGAAGAATTGGGCTTCTCCCTGAGTTTATCATTTTCAGGGATAAAGAGATTTAAAACACACCCATTTGCCACAAGTTTCCATTCACTTCTCAAGTCCTTTTAGCCTCAGACACTGTCCCTGCCTCTTGTGCCTTTCCAGCTTTGCCCTGGCATGGGCAAGGGGTTCGAATGGGCCGAGCAGGGCTCCAACCCTGGCCCACCCCCAGCGGCAGTGCCTGGGGCGCATCGCCGAGTCCGTGTGCTTCAGTTTCTGTATTTGTCAAATGAGGGAGTGTCTTTCTGCCTTTTTGGTCTGGGACTGGGAGTAAAAATACATTTTATGTCATCCATTTTCACATAGTAAACATGAACACACTCCTACATGTCTCTTCACCTGCCATTCACTGCTTAGCATGATCCGATTAGGGAGGATGGGCGGTGAGGGGCCACAGTGCCCTGAGGGGTGATGGTCACAACACAGATCTCTCAATAGCCAGAGGGCAGGGCTGGCACCACACAGACAGCAGAACCTCAGCAGGCCCTTTGTACTTGCCCTTGGGCCTTTCATTGCCCACCAGCACTACCAGTGCTATCCCAGGTGGGCCAACAGGTACTCATACAGATGTGATGAATTGATGTTCAGATACTCGGCATGTCTTCAAGTTAAGATTCATTCCAGAATAGAGGCTCCTCAGGAAAGTTCCTTGTCCAAACCAAACTGTCCATAAATACAGTAAAGAAATGTATACTTACACAGATAGTTTGATTCCTTCTTCGACATTTAGGCCAATGTGAGATTGACTGTAACGACAGACTGATTATTTGGTCATTTATTTATTTATTTTGCTTTCTTCTAGATCCAAACATAAAAGCAGACATTAACAAATGGCGGGTAAAGTTAGATAACTATTCTTCCCAGGAACTGGGGAAGACAATTGTCTACCTGAACGGCTCCTCTCAGTCATGCCGCTTCAGAGAATGCAACATGGGCAACCTGATCTGTGATGCTATGGTGAGTGGTGCACAGGATGCGGGGCCTGGGCCCGGGGAGGGGCAGCAGGGGAAGGAACAAGGGAGGAAAGAGAAGATGCAAGGAGTACCGCCTGATAGTTATAGAATCAAGCATGTAAAGAAAAGTAGTGCCCAGACAAAAGCTTGGCATGGATTCATACTGAGCACCTCGGGAAGGTGCATGAATTAGACCAGCTGACCATCACTTTGATTTGCAGAAAATGAAGCCTTTATTGTAAGGTGTTCATTTGGGGATGTCTGAATTTGGGGTATTGCTTTTCCTGTAAGATGATCTGAACACACAAACTCTACTCCTCTGAAGATGTAGGCATAGTAGATAAAACACAACTGCTCGGGCCTAACTTGGCCAGACTGTATTTCCCTGGTCTGCCCTCTAGCTCCAGAGAACTAGGCCTCCTGTGAATGGAAACTTTGTCACAAGCTGAGAGTGACAACACAAGTTATAGTGATAATAATAAGTCCTGTGGCTGAGCAAGATCACCCATGAAAAGCACCCTCTGTCCACCTGTCTGTGGGCAGACTGCTATGGCAGCCCTCTGGGGCTATGTTGAGCCAAGGTCTCCCAGATCAGACTCAAAGTCCACACCCAGGGGGTCATTTCTTGGCCTGCGCTCTGCTCGGGGCCTGGGACATAGCCACACTCAATAAGTGAATGACAATGTTCATGCTTCCCAAGGTAAGACCAATGCTGCAAGAGAAGTAGCTACAGGTCCCAAAGGAAACACCCCAGGCTGCAAGGAGTGTTTATCTCTCCATTAGAGACTGGGGCAGGTGTAAGAAAACTTTTAGTTTTGCACTATTTTTTTTTTTCAAATAAGAATGTATTCATTTTATTTCTTATAACTAAACATATATTTTGTAAAAGAAAGGTAAGAATGCAACCAATTCTCTCCAGTTTTGGGGGGCTGTCTCTGGGCCTTCCAAATTGCAGGAGCAGCCAGTCTGCTTGGAGACCCCATCCATACACAGAGCCGGTTTTTGCTGAGGCCCGCTGAGGCACGGGGTCTTAGGAGAAGGGGCTCAGAGCATGGGACTAATCACCATATCTCATTTTTGCTGCTTAGAGTATAAAACTCATTCTAATTGAACTTGAGAGATCTCGGGACACAGGAGCAGGGCAGAGCAACTTTACTTCCTCATTAGAGCCAACCAAATTCCTGAAGCTGATCCTAAGGAAGAAGACCCAGAGTAACTAATGTAAATTCATGTTACTGTTTCAGATTAACAACAACCTTAAACACTTGGATGAAATGTCCTGGAACCACGTGTCCATGTGCATTTTAAATGGCGGTGGCATTCGGTCTCCCATTGACGAGGGAAACAACGGTATGCTCCCAGGCTCAGGGTCCTCGCTCAGCGTTCTGACCGTGTCCACGGGCAGCCTCTGCGGAACTCTGCTGCCAGCCACGTACCCAGTGTCAGTCCCTTCGGCTTGAGTTAACTGCTACTCAAGTCAGGGCCTAGCCCAGAGGGCACACACATAAACTTCTGACTCACAAAGTTAAATAGGAATTGTTGCTGGTTGATGCAAAATATTGACAGCCTCTACCATGATATCTAGAAAGAGAAAGTCAAAATCGTCTTCTGTGCCGGAAAACGTACCACTGGATTAAATTCTTTTAGTGCATTTACAGAAACCCAGGATTATATTATATGCTGAAATAAACCAACTAGACTGCCACTCAGGACACCCCGGCTGTCCTCCCTGATATACAGTCAAAACCAGTCCGTTTTGGTGTAACTGGCTGGGTACAAGGTCATCTTGTTGTTTCCATCAGGGAGAGGGCGCAGGAAAATACTGCCTGTCTGGAGGACCTAAGCAATGCTTAACACTCACTGAAATCCAGCCTCGAGTCAGGAGATCCAGGGCAAACACAGGTGACTTGGGAGCCGCAGCCCTTTATATGCTCCTGCCATCTTGCTCAGTAGTGGAGGGCACCGCCAAAGGCCCCTTGAATCTATTCCCTCCCTAAGTGTCAGCAACCATGGAGACACGGCTCCCGCCTGCCACGGCCCCTCATCCCCCTCACCTCCTCTGCCAGTCCTAAGGAAAACTGGCCTGGGAGTAAGCTTGTTCTCAAGGTATTTCCCTTCTTGCCTCATCTGTGACTACCCTCAGGCACGATTACGTGGGAGAGCCTGGCTGCTGTGTTACCCTTTGGAGGCACCTTTGACCTGGTTACATTAAAAGGCTCCACCCTGAAGAAGGCCTTTGAACATAGTGTGCACCGCTACGGCCAGTCCACCGGAGAGTTCCTGCAGGTGGGCGGTAAGTCACGCTCCCAGGTGAGGTGGGATTTTCTGCTGGTTGGCTTAGCTCTCTCTTCACCAAGACCGCTGTGACCAGGCTTGTTCAGCTTTTCCACACGCCAACGCTAGTGCATAGTCTTTCAATGGACATGGACTCCTGGACCACTAAGTTCTGCTCAGTGGCAAAGCCCCCAGGCCCTGGCAATGAGCAGTGTTTGGATGTCAGATGGGCCCTGGACAGGAGCTGGCCCTCCAAACTCCAAGCAGGTCAGCTGCCTTGAAGTTGTTTCTATTAAAATCGTGGTTGTTTAAACCTTCAATACCCTCTGTAAGATCAAAACACCCCTCCTGTGTTCTAGCCACAGCCGCCTGGAACCATGCCGAGGTTCCAAAGGCGTGCAGTGTCCAATCGGCTGTTAACGCGGATGATTTCTGGGAGGGACAGCCTACTGCGTAGACACACGCGATTACTGAAGCAAAGGGGTTCAAATTGGGCAGAACATTTGTTCTGGTAGGACTCCAGCACTGGGCTCACCCTACAGTGGTTCTGGTTCCCCTGCGACTTAGGCGAGTCCTCAGCCCCTCTGAATGCAGAGAGCCTGCCGTGGTCGTCTCACAACTTCCAGTGAAAAATCAGAAGAAAATAAATGCTTCAGAAATTGTCAAGGACTTCTGAATGCTTTTGTCAGTAATTCCACGGTCCAGTGAATTAACCTTTACATCAATAGTCTAATTTGACCCTAAAACCACATTCTGGCCTCGTTTTTTTGTTTTGTTTTTTGTTTTTTACTATAGCTGGTGGGCCCCTACTCAGTGGGTGTGATTGCTCTGTGGAGTCCTCCCTCTGCAGAACACTGTTGGGGTTGAGGGGCTACAGAGGGTGGTGGGACCTGGGCCTGCTGCCTGTGGGGTAACACACACGCTCTACATTTTTCCAGGAGAAAGTGGAGGAACCAGCAGGTTTTGATGCTCCAGCATGGTGCTGGGCAGTTGTATGTTTTGTGCAAGTCGCCCAAGTCCATAGTATACCATTTTGTAGTCTTTCTTCAAAATCGCAGCTAATGTCCTGCACCCTCTTATTTATTTCTCATTTTCGGAAGCCGCTGAACCGGGTGGCTGGACCAACTCATCGGGGATTTTTAAAAAATGTGGCTTCTCCCCACAGAGTCACTCCTCGCCTGTTCCAAGCCCCAGCCAATCTTTCTCCCAGCAGTTCTCAGACCTTCCGGAAGGCCTCCGCCTCACCAGGGCGGGGCAGCTGCAGTGTCACCTCCCTCCCTTGCTGAAATGTCACACAAGCTCAAAATGAAAACCAAGCCCAGTGCCCCAATTCCCGGTTTTGGCAAAAATCTTTTTCTTAGAAAACAGGACGTTCCCTTTGGATCCAGTGAAAACATACAGACTCATTTCTTTTCTAGGAATTCATGTGGTGTATGATCTTTCCCGAAAACCTGGGGACAGAGTGGTCAAACTAGATGTTCTTTGCACCCGGTGTCGAGTGCCCAGTTATGAGCCTCTCAGAACAGATGAGGAATATAAGGTGATCCTCCCGAGCTTCCTGGTCAGTGGTGGAGATGGCTACCAGATGATAAGAGAAGAAGCATTACAACATAACTCAGGTCAGCACAAGTGCCTGTTGCTCTCCGTGTCCCAAAGGTTCGCAAGAACAACAGTACTGGTGCGAAGACGGGAGCTCCTGGCGCCCGTGGCCGGCTCCCGCGCTGTCTGTGGGAATGCAGCAGACCGCACTGGGGGGTGAACACGTGCCTGTCCCTTCCCAACACACATTTCCAGCCATCCAAGCCCAGGGAAAATGCATTTTTAAATCAAAAATGTTTTAACACTCTTTTATGTACACATAAGCAGCTACTTAAACTGTGAAAAATGAGTTTTGCACTTACAGAAAAGAAAACATACCTCGAGAACTGTAGGTTGGACATGAAAAATCATCAGAGTAAATTATCTCAACTTTCTAAAAGGGGTTCATGGGATATGACTCCGCCCTTTCAACACAATGAGTAGCTGGAGCAAGTTATGGGAACCACACTTGATCCAGTATATATTTTTGTCCACTTTTAGGGCCATTAGACACCAGCCTTTTAAAAGGCCTTTTGAGAATCACATCCTGTGCATGAAGCCCACTGAGAAAATATACTACCCCTTCCTCTTCTCCTGGGCAGAAATCAGTGTCCATGCAAGACACATGCATAGCTTCCCTGAATCTTTAGGATGGAGCTCAGCCAGCTTCCTCCTCAGCCTTACCACGGTAGACCGGCCATTCTAGCTGCTTGTTCCAAGGAGCATGACAGCAGAGTCAAGGCAAAGGAGGCAGCCCTTCCTGGGGAAAAAGGCACCAGCTACTTCTGTCCATTCCATGACACAAGCTTTAAAATGTGTTCCCTTTAGCCCACAGCCATCAACTCCCCACGAAACAAAGAGGCTGATGGCTGTGCAGCACTAAGCGCAGACTGATGGGTGTTGGAGAGAAGGGACTCACACAGAACCTGAGGAAGCCTTGGCCCTAGGGGTTCTCAACGCTGACTATACATTAGAATCACTGGGGGAGCATTTTAAATTAAATACCAATACCATGGCCCCAACTTTTTAAAAAATTTGTTTTTATTGATTTTCTAGAGAGAGAGGAAAAGACAGAGAAATAGAAACATACATGTGAGAAAGAAACATCTATTGGCTGCCACCTGCACACTGGGGTCCGAGCCCGAAACCCAGGCATATACCTTGATGGGGAATCAAAATGGGACCTCTCAGTTCATGGGATAATGCTCAGTCCACTGAACCACACCAGCTGGGCTTGGCCCCAACTTTTAAGAGATTCTAATTTAATTAGGTTGGGAGAAAAGTCTCTTCCACTGATTCTAATGTATCCCCAGAGGTGAGAACCACAGAGGAGTTCTTTATTCAAGTATTAGAGTGATTTTTAAATTGAGATTTTACTGACATATAACATTAGTTTCAGATGTACAACATAATAATTTGATCTGTGTATACTCTGTGAAATCACCACAATAAGTCTAGTTAACATGCATCCCCACTCAGTTACAAAAAAATATTTTTCTTGTAATGAGGATTTTTAAGATCTACTCTTGTAGCAATGCAGTAGAGTCACCATACTGTACCTGACATTCCCAAGACTTATTTTATCACTGGAAGCTTGTTCCTTTTGATCTCTTTCACTCATTTCTCCCAACCCCTCACCCCCTTGCCTCTGACAACCACCAATCTGTTCTCAGTATCTGTTAGGTTGGTTCTGTTGTTGTTGAATTCTACATATAAGTGAAATTATACAGTATTTTTCTTTTTTCACTTATTTAACACAGCATAATGCCCTCAAGATCCATCTGTGTTGTCCCAAATAGCATGATTTTATTTTGATTTTTATGGCTAGATAGTGCATATACGCAGAGTGAGGCAAAAGTAGGTTTGTAGTTGTGAGTATGCTTTGAAACAGTTTGTCCTTGTATTATTACTTATTATTGTATTATTGTGCATACAAACAACTATAAACCTTCTTTTGTTCCACCCTGTATATACACATGTCACAATTTCTTTATCCATTCATCCATTGATGGATACTTAGGTTACTTCTTTATCTTGACGATTGCAAATGATGCTGCAATGTACATGGAGGTGCATATTTTTCTAATTAGTGTTTTCACTTTTTTGGATAAGTACTCAAAGTGGAATTGCTGGACCATATGGTAGTTCCATTTTTAATTTTTTGAAGAACCTCCATAAGATTTTCCATAGGGGTTTGCCAGTTTATATTCCTACCAATAATGCTACAAGGCTCCCCTTTTCCACATCCTCACCAACACTTACTTCTTGTCTTTTTTTTTTAATCCTCACCCAAGGACATTTTTCCATATTTTGTTCAGATAGAGTGGGAGGGGGAGAGAGAGAGAGAGAGAAACATCGATGTGAAAGGGACACATTGAGTGGTTTTCACCCGCAGGACCCAATCCGGGCTGGGGACATGCCCTTAGTGGGAACCGAACCCAAGTCTCTCTGGACCGAAAGCCAACGCTCTAACCGCTGAGCCAAACCGGCCAGGGCACTTCTTGTCTTTTTGATGATAGCCATTCTAATAGGTGTGAGGTGATATCTCATTGTAGTTTTTTTTTTTTTTATTTCTTTGCATTTCTGTAATAATTAGTGATGTTGAGCATCTTTTCTTGTGCCTGTTCTGTGCATATTCTTTGGGAAAATGTCTATTCAAATCGCCGCCCAATCTTAATCAGATTTTTTCTACTGAGTTGTTTGAGTTCTATATATATTTTTACTATTAACCCCTTATGAGATATATGATTTAGAGAGTAGTATTTTTAAAATAAAATGTTGTCAGGTTCCTATGGGATTGTTGCAATAGGCAATTAGTATTTCTTTATCAGCTCTCCTCTTTTGGAAATGAAGTCTTCATTGCCTCTCCAGCAACTATGTGAAAATGATCCTGGAGCAGATAAGCAACAGGAAGCCACTGTATGTCTCAACTAATTTCTTTTAACTCAGTTCCCTAAGGCCCTTGTTCTGGAATGATTTAAAGGCAATGATGTCAACAATTTCTTTCTTGAGTCATCTCAAGCTGAGGCGACTCTGTCCTGTAGTTATCTAGTATTGAACAATGGGCACCTTCATGCCTAGAACACGCAAAAGCAACCAAATTCTTTGCACTTATGATCACCACTCCTCTTCTGTTACACTTTATCTCTGCTGATGAAAGGAATATCTTCCCAATCAAAATTACAAATGACTCTAGAAAAATACATTGAGCACCCCCTCTCTTACTGTTAATTGATATATTTTCTGTAATTAAAATAATGTCCATATTTTTCTAGGTGACCAGGATATCAACGTGGTTTCTCGCTATATCTCAAAAATGAAAGTAATTTATACACCAGTTGAAGGTCGGATCACGTTTTCTGCAGGAAGTTGCTACCGTGGAAACTTTTCTCTAATATTTCTCTCAATTTTGGCAACTATCATTGTTTTGTACCAATAGCCAAAAACTCTCCTTTGCCATCAATGTGTGAACCTGCATTTTTTTTCTCAGATGAGATGCAAGCCTGCCTTTTAGGAACTTCTTTGTAAAGGCACAGACCATCCTCACAGGCTCCTGGAAGCTGAGCTTGGAGGACCCCAAGTGAAGACACCGACATCATCACTCAGGATCGACAACTTAGTGAACACACAGGACAAGAATTTAAAATGAGCCCTAAGAGAGGAAGGCCAACCATCTTTAGTTTACATATGCACATTTTAAACTGTTCAGAATGATACTTAATGGTCTCCTCTCTTCATAATTATCAATAGCCCCAAGCTCACGATGACAAGTCTCTGCTGTATACCTGGTCTCTATTTTTTTCCTCTTTAGCTCCTGCTGTTGTAGCAAGTTTAATGGACTAAACACAGGGTGGTCTTCTTTCTTGTGCCACCTGTGTTCTTTTGATGAGTCAAGAAACAAATGACACAGCAGATAATGGGACAGGCCACATCAAGGGGCAAGGAGAAAGGGACGGGAAGGACAGGGCACCCAGGACCAATTTTCATCATAGAAGAGAAAGAGCTAAAGAACATAGATTTGTTAAATAGATATTTCCTTAGAGTAGCAGCACAGTGCCTGACACATGGCATCTACTGTTAATAATGTATGATATCCCATTAGTTCTGCTCTATGATCTTTCCTTTCTTCTTAACTTTAAGGTGTCATGAGAAGAGAGCCTTCTAAAACAAGGTGTAATTTAAACCTGCACCTGTCCCTCCCCAGCAGGTGCCAGCACTGTGCTTATTCTAGTGGCACCACAAACACACACACACACACACTCCCTCCCCCAGTTATGGAAAACCGAGAGGGGAGACAAGGGTTGATTTTTAAAAACAGTGTACAACAGAAGTTTGAAGTCAGCTCTGCCTCCAAATCTGAACAATCGCTAAATCATTCTCAAGTCTAGATGTGAGAACTCCAACCTGGGAGTGAGCCCCTCTGAGTGGGTGCTCAGGGAATACCCAATGAAGAGATGATTTGTGCCCAAAGGGCAAATACTTGCTTAAGGTGGTTGTGGGAACATGTGAACCTGCTCAGCATTGCATGATCCAATGAGAAATGGAAACCTTCACCTTAAATAAATAGCACCTAAAACAGGAGCACCTACATTGACCACAAAATAAAACCAAACAGAAACTTGTGTGGACCACAGGGAGTATGGAAGGATTTTCTAGGGTGCTGCAATAGTCCATGTCTATGTCTGGTCATTGGTCACTCAGGCTAGTTCAGCACGTGAAATCCATTGAGCTGTACATTTGATATATACATATTTCCAAATATATGTATGCATAATAAAAACTTAAAATTTAAAAAACAGTGAGCAAATCACAGCTAGAGGTTTGGATAGGGAATATGTTTGTTTCTTAATGTTTACAAATATTAAGTACTCAATAAAAAATATACTTTTAAATTTCATAACCTCTGTATAAATTTTGCTGCAGTGAAATATCCTCAGTTCTATGTATATATGCATTAGCTATAAATAATGTCAATAAGATTGTAGAGAAAATTAGAGGTATATTTGGGGTATATTTTTTATGCTTGGCCTAGTAAAATAGGATAGATTCTAATGGAATGCAAACTTTAAAGGACATTTTTATATTTTCTAAATATGTGTGCATGTATTGTGTAGTCGTATAAGAAATTACCTCAAACACTGTGCAAATGCAGATTCCAAACCATAAAATTGAAGATATGCTCTTTGTCTTTGGCAGTTTTCTTCTCTCACATGAACACCTATAACCCAAGAAAATATGACTGAAGGAAAACTCTGACAATTTATCACTGATATCATTTCCCTTGAACATAGGCTACTTGCTGTCTGATAACCCTCCCTATCCATCCCTTCTCACCCCCAAAATGGAAAGAAAAATGTATGTAATTTTTAGGAAAGCGAGAAGAGTAAGTCAAGAATATTTTAAGTAAGACTACTAAGTTTTCTGGCTTTCATATACAGAATCTGATGTAGAAACTGTTTGGAGGGTGTTTCCTAAAAATAAAAATGTCCACCTGGCCGGTGTAGCTTAGTGGTTGAGCATCAACCCACGCACCAAGAGGTCACCAGTTTGATTCCTGGTCAGGGCACATGCCCAGGTTATGGGCCCAATCCCCAGTGAGCGGCATGCAGGAGGCGGCCAGTCAATGTTCTCTCTCATTGATGTTCCTATCTCTCTCTCCCTCTCCTTTCCTCTCTCTCCAAGATCAATAAAGGGAAAAAAATTTTTTTTAAATATCCAAGTTAGTGTTGGGGATTTTAATTAATGTATCTGAACTGGTTGTGCATCTAAGAATCTTTAAGCACACAGATGACACAAGACTGAACATTGAGACACATTAAATCCACGTGGTGGCACAGTCTCCTTCAGCAGTTTGTAACAGAGGTGGGTTCCCTGGAAGAAAGCTTGGGCTGCTAACAGCTGTCCATTAGGAAAGTAGCTCCCTCAGGCAGGATGCAGTTCCATGGGTGCATATGGCTAGGCTTTCCAAAATTAGGAAAGGCCCCTGATTCATTTCATGAGGCTACTGTAACAAAGTGCCACAAACTGGGTGGTTTAAAAAGCAGCAATTTATCTCCATTCTGGAGGTTTGAAGTCAGATATCAAGTTGGCAGGGTTGGTCCCTTCTAAGGGCTTGAGGAGAAACTGGTTGCAGGCCTCTCTCCTAGCTTAGAGTAACCTCAGGCATTCCTTGCCTTTTTTTATCCTCACCCGAGGACATTTTTTTTTCCATTTTTTGTACAGAAAGAGTGGGAGGGAGAGAGAGAAAGAGAGAGAGAGGGAAACATTGATGTGAAAGGGACACATCGAGTGGCTGCCACCTGCACGACCAACCAGGGCCGGGGACAAACTGCAACCGAGGTACATGCCCTTAGCAGGAACCAAACCCGGGTCTCTCTGGACCGCAGGTCGACGCTCCAACCGCTGAGCCAAACTGGCCAGGGCAGGCATTCCTTGCCTTGTAGATGGTATTCTTCCCATGTCCTTTCATGTCCTTTTCTCTCTGTACATGTCTGATTCTGTGTCTATTTAAATGTCCTCCTTTTTATAAGGATAGTCATTAAATTAGGTCCACTCTAATAATTTCATTTGAATCATCAATAAAACCTCTGTTTCCAAATAAGGCAACATTCACAGGTACTGGGGTTTAGGTCTGAGTTCCTGCCAGAGTGATGCAGGCATTTTGGGGTCCAGGAACCCAAGGGTCAACAACCCAATCCACAACCCACTGGGGGTTCTTGGCTTCATTCAGGAAAGAATTCAAATGCAAGCCAGCACAGAGTTTAAAGTAAAAATGAGTTTATTAAGGAAGCAGTCGGACAGAGAGAATGAGCTATTCCACAGACAGAGCAGCCCCCTTTATCAGAATTGGCTTCCTTTATTGAGGTTGACTTAATTGGGGGTGGGGAATTCAATAAGGGGGAGGATTATTTAGGCTCTTTCTGGGAAAGAACTCCCTGGGCCATTTTGTGTCCTTATAGGGCTTCAGTTTCTGATCAAGCAGCTCGAGGTGTGTTGTTTTGCATGCTAATGTATTACAATGAGCATATAAGGAGGCTGGGGTTACTCTGAGGTGAAATTAGTTACCATGTTGGATTGAGCAGATCTCTGCCACTTTTAAGCCATCAATCTGGTGGGGGGTGGGGGGAGTCTTACTATCTTGTGTAGCTTTTATTGATTGTAGCTGTTTTACCACATACCCTATCTTAACATATTTTCAAGACAGGAATCAACCCATAAGAGTCCCCTGGCATGATCTACATAACCAGCTGGGGCAGCCCTGAGGCAACCAGCTCCTCTGTGTCCTATATTATTTTGTAAATGAAAGGTTATACTTAATCTAATGTAATGATAAAATAGAGCTACAGCAAATCAAAAGGAACCAGTCAAAAAGAGAATGCCGTCAAAAAGAGAAGCTTTTAAAACAAACTGGGAGTTCTCAAATCTCTGTTGAGTAATACTGAGACCTTTAAGAACCTGAATAAAATATTTCATGAAAGTTAGCAAATAAGTTAGTCAACAAATAAGCTAGTTAAGGTATAAAAACAATTTAATTCTGACCCATGATGAGGATGGCTGGCATATTAAAAGCAACTATGGAAAAAACAGGCTCATTGTTCATTAGGGTTCTTGGTTACAAAACAAACAAAATGTCTGTAAGCATAGATATATCAGGATATAAGCTAGTTCTCAGAATGATCAAGAAGCATGGAGAGCCTGGCCAGTGTGGCTCAGTGGACTGAGCATTGTCCCATGAACTGAGAGGTCCCGGTTCCATTACTGGTCAAGACACATGTAAGGGGAGTGCAGGAGGCAGCCAACTGATGTTTCTCTCTCACATTGTTTCTATCTCTCTTTCCTTGCCTTTCTCTCTAAAAAGTTAATAAAAACATTGTTTTAAAGAGCCAAACCTAGAAAATGGAGAACAAGCAAGGAAAGTGAGGCATGGCCAAAATCCTGCCACAGAAACAGCCTTCCTACAACCCAGGTCTGCTGGACTCACTCACCTCCGCTGTCGCTACACCCACAGGGCCTGACTGTGTTCATGCCTCCATTCTGAAGGGAGCATCTAACAAGCTGAGTGCAAACTGTTTTTCATAAAAACAGAGGCTGAGTGAGAATTTAACTCCAGCCTTTTGACTTCCATAGTGAAATCAATGCCTTTTCTCCAAATAATCTTGGAAGTCCTCCAAATAGAGATGTTCCAATTCTGGACAATCAAAAATCAGAAATGGCACCTATGAAAACTCTGAGAATTTTCAAGTACAATAAATATATATGAAATAATGTTAAAAACAAAAACACTACCTTCTAAGTCAGTCCTGAAAACTGCACTGAGTTCTTAAGTTACTCTCCAACAATGTTCATTCACATGTGTGATATCAAGATTTTTATGAAAGCCTAAAACATCATAAATAAAATTACCACCTTTTTGGGGGGATAAGATAATCATTAAATAATTTGTAAGCATATTAGTAATGAAATAACCCCCTAAGATATTTGATATTACTTTATATATATGGCTCATCAAATTTCTCATTGAGCTTCAAGTTTTTAATTTGATATTGATTTTTTTCAGACCTATACCCTATAGATGAAGTAAGGAAATCTATACATTTAAAGAATAAACAAGTTTTATTTTACTGGTAAAATCACAACATATTAACTTTATATATTAGCATCAATACAGTGTTCCTGAAAATTTTACTAACTTACCACAGTACAAAACTGATTTTGTGATCACAACTTTTGTGTCATGCTTATCACATCATTCCTGCTCATCTACAAGAGATGTATGAATAGTTAAGTTCTTTTCACGTAGCCTTGCCTTATTCCTGATTGAATATCTATCTTTGAGTAAAAAAGTGAAAAGATGAAACTATAAAATCAGAGGTCCCAGACACTACTGTAGAGTATGTCACAATATACAAACTAGTAATGTAACCTCAGTAATGACTGTTCTCTAGAACTATACCACAGATAAGTAGGCTGCTGACTCCTTGAGTATCTGATTACTGCTTAACTCTACCCTTCCCCATCCCGTTCATGAAGGCCCACAACAGGGCAAGTGACTCTCAAGAGTAGCACTATAAGGCTAACATGGAAGCCAATATAATTCACATTTCAAGTGTGAAGAGAAAAAATAAATCACACAGAAACTGCAGTACTTAAATTTTATTCACTGTACTAAATTACTACTCATCCCCTTCAAAATGAATCAAGAGACACTAGTGCATTTGATACGAGAGCTGAGACAGCTGCTAATCTCACTAGATACCAGCCATTGGCTTAATGCCAGAGGTACCTAACAGGAAGAATGTGTAACTATTAGAAATATTAGTGAATTGTAAAAATTAACACAAACTCACATCATTTATAAAAGATCATTAATCTATTTATTAGATGAGCGTGTAAATATCATAAAAGTTTTCATCAATACAGAAAATTAAAACAACTTTGAGCACTTGGTGCAATTCAACAGACCCCTCAAGTGCTCAGTTCACCTGCCATCCTACACTTATTTTTATCTGTGTCCACACAGATACATCTCCTATACACTTAACTTCTAATTATTCAATCGTTTGGCTGCATTCAGTATAACTTTTGTTTTTGTGGTTATTTGAAAAAATAAATCAACATCAGTTTTTGTGCTCCCTTGTAACTGCTCAGCGGTTATACATCTACAATAGCCCCTTCCCTTTCTCTCCAACATCCCTGCTTCCTCCTCCTCCTCCTGAAATGCCGATTTATATGATTTAGGAATCTCCAGTATCCTAAGGTTAGCTGACATGATCACCTTACCTGCAGCCCTGGTCCAGGGTCATGGATAAAGACATGTGCCCTGAGGTCTTTAATATGTATTTACTCTGACAACACTCCTACAGATGGTGAGGTACCAAGATCACAGGCCACATCCTTGCCTCTTAACACCCACATGTACATTCCACCTCAACTTACTTGGGCACACCCTCTGCATCAAGTCTCTGAACTGACACCTTCTTAGTACCAGGTGGTGCTGGGCTACACTTAGGTGATACAGGAATGAGTAGGACCCATCTCTGCAGTTATAGACTATTCACAGCTGAGTAGAAGACACAGCTAATTAACATCTAAAAACAAATCCATGATTGTATGTCTATCCAGCATCTCTTTCCACTCCTGGAAAGAGCCTCTATTCTTTGGGAGACACTATAC